ATCACCTCCCCTCGCTACTTGCCCGGTGCGCATAAGCCTCCCCTAAAAACCCTTCAACGCCCACATACACGCCCCCACAACACGCCTCAAGCGCCTCCAACCCCCGACCCCCTCCTATCTCTTTTTTGGCATATACGCATCTAGCACCAACTCCGTTTCCATTTTTTTCTTCCTCCGGCAGCTCGCCCAGTCTAGGCTGCGTACAACCAGCGGAGAGAAGCTCCTGCAACCCCGCCCTCCCTCATTTAGGCTATTACGCATGCACACTCTATTCCCTTCTTCCTCCGGAGCTCGCCCTCAAGCGCGCGTATATTACAGCAGCAAAGCCTCCTGCACGCCCCCCCTCTCATATAGGCACCTTATTAAATACGACTATGCTGCACACTCTTCCCGATCTCCTCCCGGCAGCTCCTCTCGCCTGCAGCTTAACGCGACAACAAATAGCGGAGTCTGCAACCGCCCCTCCCTCTCCTTAAGGCTATACGCATGCACACTCTTCCCTTTTTCTCCTCCGGCCAGCTCGCCCAGCACGCCCCGACTTGCCCGATCAACAGCGGAGCTCTGCAACCCGTCCCACTCCCTCTCATCTAGGCTATACGCTTTGCATACTCTCCTCTCCTCCGGCCAGCTCACTCGCCAGCAGCGCCGTACAACAGCGAGCTCTGCAAACCGCCCCTCTCCTCCTTTATGGCTACACCCATTGCCACTCTTCCCTTTCCTCGCAGCTCGCCCAGCAGCGGCGTAACAGCAGCGAAGCTCTGCAACCGCTCCCTCCCTCTCATGTAGGCATACGCATGCACCACTTCTTCCCCTTCGCCTCCGGCAGTCGCCATAAAGCAGCGCGTACAACAGCGAGGCTTGCAACCGCCCCTCCACTCTCCTAAGGCTATACGCAAGCACACTCTTCCCTTTTCTCCTCCGGCAGCTCGCCCAGCAGCGCGTACAGCAGCGACTCTGCAACGCCCCTCACTCTTCATAGCTATCAAATCCATCACTATACGCATGCCATCCAGTGCGGAAATCACGCACCCTCCCGATGAAAAACATCGCACTACAGTCTTAGGGAACAGGGGCGCGTGGAGATGCAGTGTGAAATTGTCAAGTGCCTTTTGGTCTTGTGATGAGGGAGTGGTGCGTGTTTGCAGGGGCGCGTGGAGTTGCAGGTGGAATTGTTAAGTGCCTTGTGATCTTGTCATGAGAGAGTGATGTGTGTGCAGGGGCGCGTGGAGATGCAGGTGAATATGTCAGTCTTGTGGCCTTGTCCTGAGAGAGTGATGTGTGTGCAGGAGCGCGTGGAGATGTAGAGTGAACTTGTTAAGCGCCTTTTCATCTTGTGCTGAGGGAGTGGTGCCTGTGTGCAGGGGCGCGTGGAGATGCAGGGCGACTTCGCGGCGCTGTCGCGCATGGTGGACTACGCGCAGCTGCTGGGCGCGGGGCCCGAGAGCGAGGAGGGCGCGGGCGATGGCGTGGGCGACGAGGGCGATGGCGGCGACGAGCAGCCAGAGGCCGAGCGGGAGCGCTCCTCCACGCCCATCCACCAGCTGCTGCGCCAGATCTCCGCTAAGGTCAGTTACTGCACTCTGAATTTAACCAGAGTAGATTATAATTTTTTTTTTTTGAGATCTCGTAGTTCCCACACAATGTTTCTATTTCAGCAATACTTGTTCCTCGCTTTTTTTAGAAACTTTTAAAATTATTTTACATCTATTAATTAAATGTTATTCTAATTAAATGATAACTATTTTCACTCGTGAGAACATTTATTACTTTGCAAATGATTATTTGAAAAGTTAATTTAACATTTTAGATGAACCTAACTTCGAAGGTCTGCGCTATATGACACTGATTATAGACACGGTAGTGGGCTTGAGGTTAACACTCTACTTATATAGCTGAACGTATAATAACAATCAGAAATACTCAGGGCAATACAATTATTTCTACTGAATATAATTCATTCCTAGGATACAGATTTTGAGGTTGCATATGTTATTAACCACATGCGCTACGTAGTGCACGCAAGTAAGCTAAACTTCATTAATTGTACTACAACAAAAATTAAAAATTTGAAACTTTCGGCGCCCAAAACTGCATGTCTGCTGCAGAGTAAGGTATGTTGCAGATTGCAGGTACACCCGATGAGTTTTCTGTAGTATTATCTACAAATTGTACATTCTTCGACAAAAACGTTTTTCTTTTCCAAAAGGTATTTCTCGGGAAGAAGAGTTTTACGAGACTTTGTGTCAATTGTAACTCATCGTTGTAACTCCATATTAATATTCTAATTGTAAGACTAACTAAATTCTACAATCCCTTTCAAGCATCACATTTACTTGATTGAATACTTAATTGTTCGTTTAAGAATTTATGAATTACATTTTATGGGTTAATTGAAATTCATTAAGATAATAAATTCAAATTAAAATACGGGATGACCGTTAGTTATTATACAGCGAGGGTTTGTAGCGCAGACTTTCTGAATTGTGGGCTCGAAAGTGGCAAGGAAATAACATGCTTGTTGAATCATAGGCTTTCGACGGGAAATAAACGTCTTTAAAAAACGAAAAGAGTATATGTGATTTTTTTGCGACATAATAACGGGACATCTGTGTATTTAACTATCGGACTGCAATGGAGCATATGTTGCGTTTTGCGGTCACATTCAGTTTCACTGTTTCAAAGCACGTCCAAGTAGCGTTTTCGGGCGAAAAAGTCAACTTACAAAACCAATAGTATATCAATGTAATTTGTAACATAAAATAAGAAGTGTTCGTTAGTAACGACATTAAGTCGATGTATAGCAAACAATTGTCACGATTGAAGTTTCTCAACCGGGGTTCAAAAGCAAGTCCGTTATTTGGATATCAACAGTGTTTCGATCCCTAATCTCGTAATACCATCTTCTTATAAGAAATTAGTGGTGCTGTGCATGACACAGATTTTCTCGTGCTTGTTAGATTGCTATTTTCCTAAGCAAGTTTTCTGCTTTGCTCCCTGCTTTTCTCGGCTGACATTTCTCGCCGCTCAAACTACTTTTTCTTAAAAAAATTTCGCTCCCCTGAATGGTAGAAAAGAAAAATGACCTCTCAGTGTAGTTTTCTCGCAGATGGTGTATTCATCCGCGAACATTAAATATAACTCGCGTGTTTGGATTGCTTCCAATACACTGCGTAATCCTTAGGAGAGACATGCTGTGAGTGGTGGCTTTTCGTTCTTGTCTTTCGGTGCACAAAGTCGCAACAACAGAACATCTTTACAAAAAATAATTATTTTGCCGACCTTTCTGAAAGAACCACATTCTATTAACTTCCGCTGCGTGGTGGGCCTCCCTGACTGGATTTGTCGATTGCTTGTACAGAGCACGGCGTCCTTGGAGGGCGCCACGTCGGTCCAAAGCCGCAGCGTGAAGGAGCAGGAGGCGGCGGAGGCGGAGGCGGCGGGGGCGTCGGCGGCGGCGGCCGACCTGGCCGAGCTGTCGTCCAAGGGCCGCATCCAGGGCAAGTCCGTGTACCTTGAGTACTTCCGCGCCGGCGGAACAGTGTGCGGCGCCGCCGTCGTCGTCGTGCTCTTCCTGCTGTCGCAAGTGGCCGTCAGCGGCGTCGACTGGTTCGTCTCTTACTGGTACGTGCCACTCCATTCCTCAACGTTTCCATTGTCTGTTTCCATTCTACTCTTCTATCCAAGCCTCTTCCCATCTTGCATTATCTGCTCTCGCAAGTGGCCATCAGCGGCTTCAACAGGTTCGTCAACTGGTGGATGCCAGTTGGCCTTCCAACTCTAATAACCTTTTCTAGTTCATTCGTACACAGCAATAGAGGCACTTGCGTACCGCCATTGGAGGTATGCAGTCAGTTGGGTTACTCCGGAGGTGCTGTTCCACTCCCATTGCACTAAGTGAACAGTTGCTCTGAGTTGTCCGTTTTGGAATTCGAAAAAATTGCACGTTCTCTTTTCATGCAGACAACGCAAGAGGAAATCCGCGAGTTCTGGCGCGGCGGAGCGCAACAAAACGCTGAACGCCACGTGGCCGGCCTGGAGGCGGCTGGAGGCGCGGACGGCGGGCGGAACGCGAGAGCGGGAGTGAGGAGGCCGCGACGCAGCGAGGGCGGCAGGGGCCGCGGCCCCTTACAGGTGAGGGATTGCTGCAAAACGTTTGCCACAATTTCAGCTCGATCGGCATCAAAGTCAAGGAACTAATATGTATTCTGTTTGAGTAACGATGAAGAAAGATGGCGGGTATACTATTAGATTTCAAGATTTCACGATACAGATATATGGGTACACTGTTCCTTGCGCAAACTCAATTCTTCGAATGCTCTGCGCAGAGGTTGCTGGCGAGTGCGGTGAATGCGACGCGTGCGGCGGTGGGCGTGCGCTGGACCCCGGACCGCGCCGCCCCCGCTCGAGACCAGGAGTTCGCGTACGTCTTCCTGGGGTGGGGGCACAGCTGTTCCTGCTGGCGGCTGCATCTTCCGCTCCTTGGGCTTCCACAGTGTGGGCGATGCGCTGCTCGAGCGCCCGGCTGCACGCCGCGCACTGTTCCGTTCCATCACTTGCGTGGCCATGCGCTTCTTCGACACCAACCCCTCCGGTAGGTCTGCCACGCTCAGGTTGCATTTAGTCGCTTTGCTGGCGCCCTTTTCCTTACCTTGCGTCCCTTGCCTTGCGCTCTTTGCCTCGCGCTCTTTGACTGGCGCTCTTTGAGTGGCGCTCTTTGAGTGGCGCTCTTTGACTGGCGTTCTTTGACTGGCGCTCTTTGACTGGCGCTCTTCGCATGGCACTCTTTGCTCTGCGCTCTTTGCCTTGCGCTCTTTGCCTTGCGCTCTTTGCCTTGCGCTCTTTGCCTTGCGCTCTTTGCCTTGCGCTCTTTGGCTTGTACTTCATGCCTTCTGCCTCGGTTGGCGTCATTCCGCTGTTTGCACATAAAAAGAAGTACACGTAAAAATGTTATTTCTGCGAAGACTAATTTGGATATCTTGCGTAATGCTAACGATTTTAATTGTAAATTGAATACTCAAAACTCCTACAGCGTTGTGTGTATATCATTTTTATTTCAGAAATGTTATTTCTGTATTGTGTAAAACGGCGTTGTTGCAACATCAATGAGCGATTCGTTTCGCATATTAACTTGGTGAATATTTTCTTATCAAACTTGTCAAAAACGCTCATTTACATCTGTATTCACAATTCAACATGCTTATAGAGTGACAATCGTATAAAACTTGCACATAATACTCTTCTCACAGTATGCCACACAGTTTAAACTCTTTAATTGAAAAAATCGAAATTTGCACTATGCATGAATTGATAAAAAAACTACCATAACACGCAAATATGCACGGAAAAAGTATGCATTAAAATGAAATTGCCAAGAAAACTATAGTTTCAAACAAAGTTTGAAAGCTCTACGAAACTTACGAAATAAAAACGTGCATGTGCACTAAATTCTGTGCCTACGTCTTAGAACATTACGTAGGAAATATAATTATTTTAAAGCAAGTTGCAACCAATAAATTAGTATTACATGGCTTACATTCGACAATTAAAATAGTGTTTTATACAGCTTTAACATGTCTCAACAATGAGAACGGATTCTCAGAATATCCAACTGCCTCCAAATACTTTCTCAGTTTCACAATACTCAAATTTCTTTCACAGTCTGACAGCGCTTCAAACGAAATGTGGAGAAATACGAATTTACTATTTCCTTGTTTTTTAATTTTCGAAAACTTAGAGAGTGTGCTGTAATTTAATCAGCGCATTTTTTTGCCGTCCTTTGTTACATATTTGAAAAAAATTAAAAGAAAAATATTGGAGCTGTTTCCGAAATAGTTGTGAAAAATTCTTGTTATAAGATCTGTTTTTGATGAACACATTTCATTAAGAAGACAAAAATGATCGTTAAATTAAAGGAAGTTGCTGAAAAAATAGAATTTTTACAATTTTGGAATAATTAGGCTCTTCATCGAAAATTATATTCATACCATTCTCTTAACTCATCGTTCTTTACATTATCCGAGGTCAAAATTTAATAAAAAAGTTTGGTGTCGATTTTGAGAAAAAATTGTTAAACAAATTAAAAATTGTGAATTTCACGCAATTATGAGAAAGTACTCAAAATTGTGAAAAATTGTTCATTACTATACTTCAAAATCTGTTTTAAAAAACAGGGAAATCTCTATCTTTAATATTTTAGTTGCAGGAAGATGCCGAAAAAATTGAACTTTTGCAATTTTCAGGAAAAATCAGGAAATTTGACGAAAATGAGAGTACGTACCGACGACGCGCTTTGGGCTGAAAGGCCACACCTTGTGCCTGGTTGTTTGTCCGTTGCCTTTCATGAATGTGTTGTCGCGGAGAGCCTCGTGTTCTGCTGAGAGGAATTCTGTTCAGAGGAAGCCGCAGGTGTGTTGGTGTCTAATGTACGGTCGAATGTGCATCCCATCGGGTCATAAAGATTAACCGGCTGTGAGCTGGATAAAGCCGTAGACAAAGTCAAAAGAACATTATTTTAAACGACCTTCACCGATATCCAGCAACAAATTTAATCAAAAAATATGGACACATTTTTTGAATACATCTCAGCGGCTTCATGTAGAGTACCCTCTAAAATTAAAATTTTAATTTCAAATATTGAAGGACCCGCAACATCAGCCAAATTGATTGGGGAATATCAATTTTGAAGAAAATTGGGAGCATGGTTTAGGCGTGAGTGTTGACCACACGGGCGGACTACGAGACAAACGTTTTGCCTTCAATCGATTTTTCGGTACCCACAAAACATGTATTGTGACTATACAGCGCGTTAGAGAAAGTAATTTACTATATATAAGGACGAGATTCATCCACTTTTACATAACCAAGAGTTTTTCTGTCGACAATTCGCCTTTTTTCTTTGCATCATTACAATAATTTCTTAGTACCGCGTATGTAATTGTGAGAATGTGAAATGTTTCTTATTCTCGACGTCTCGGGTTAGTAATACTATTATTTACTCTCTCTGATAATGTCCCCATTCATTCTTCCATATGGTAAACATAAGGGGAAAGATTGAAATAATTCCAACTCCGCCAAAATAAGGACTAAGTTAATTTACTCACATTGATAGAAAATTTTATTACCTGAATAGTGTTATCAATATTTTTAAAGTATTGCACCTACTATCGCCACGCAAGATCAATCACCAAAAGGTGTTTTATTATTTATACAACTACAAGCATAACACCTGAAATCTGCAGTAAATGTTTCTACATTTGCCTCACAGACGTACTATACAAAAATAATACGTTTTAAGAAGTAAAGTTGTGTCAATGCTTGGAAATGAGTTATATGGTCAACAGTGCCGATTTCAGAAAACGTGCATCATGATACCAAAAGAGTAATTTTTTCAGATAAAAAAATAATACAAATTGAAGAGAAGATTTAAAATATTTATAATTTTCTTGTGAAAGCAATGTTCCACTAGATTAAATACCCGGCAAGTAAAACAAACTAACACTTCTATAACTTGCAACTTGTGCTTTTTCCTTACAGCAACTAATTTATGCGCAAAATAAATAGCTGATCAATATCTCAAACCGTTTACGACACCTCAAGGGTGTTTGCAATACATAATGATACTCGGTAGTGTTTAAGAATGGGCTTTCGTTTCCTTATTATAAATACTTGTAAGTTAACCCGAAACAATCGAAAAATGTTGAAACTCAATTGTAAATGAATTCTGAAGCTTTAAAATGATGTTACTGGTTTCCAGAATGATTTTCATTCAACAGTAAAGTAGTTGACATGTTTTTTTCTTATTCGTAGGACGTATCCTGAACAGGTTTTCAAAAGATATGGGGTCTGTTGACGAACAGCTTCCTAAGTCGATGCTGGATGCTGGTCAGGTGAGTGTTAACAAAATCCCCGACTCAATCGTTTCCGATGTCACTCCTTTACCATGGAACCTCAAATACGGACAGACGTTCTCTGTGTGCAGATTTTGCTAATGATGCTGGGCTCCGTCCTCGTGTCTGTGACAGTCAATTACTACTTTGTAATACCAGTGGTGGTTATGGGCATTCTCTTCTGGTTCGACAGGAAAATATACTTAAAAACGTCTCAAAACATCAAGCGCGTGGAAGGCATAAGTAAGTATCAAACAGCTACGTAGTTAGAATTTTGTTTTATACTTTGTGAAAAATATGCAAATAATTTTCGAAAGACATAAAAAACAATGCATGTTCTCTTTATTAACATTACCAATAAATTATTCGCTCACATCGGCCTGGCAAGCGCTTTCGTGGTCGTCATTAGAATTTCGTCCCCCTAGGACCGCGAAAAAGCATTTTACCAGAAATGGAAAAGTGCCACTTATCTCTTTTGGACTCTCAAAGTCTCCTTTTAGAATGAATCTTAATTAACGACGGGGCATTATGCCATAAACTGAAATGCATATCGCTCAACTTGCAACAAATGCAAGAAAAAAATGTAAACTTGCCTTGAAATAGATGGCACATGAATTTCTGAGCTATAGTTAAAAGAAAAAAAGAATAAAATAAATATAAAAAACAAATAAAGTAATAGTGTGTAAATTCAAAGATATTTGGTTTTATGACATTGAAATACCAAATGCAACCGAAAATTCATAAATACATAAAAAACAATTAAAATGTTGATGGACAAGCAAAGCTTTACACAAAAAGTATCTGTATATATCACAAAAGGGGATTTTCTACTTATCACATTACAAATTAAAATATCACTAAATGAGCTTTAGTATAATAATTTAAAGGCGTGTTCGGTTGGAAGAGCAATGTGGGAGGGGGGGATAGCTTGGAATAGGAAAAGCACCTGATGTTCCGTGAGCCAGCACAGAAAAGAAGATATAGTCGGAATGAGGGATGCCATCGCCCAAACCGAGATGCAGGGTTGCCATATTGTGCGGAATTTTGCTAGAAATGCGTCGAGAGCGGAGGGAAATGTATTTTGCGGAATTCCATCCAATCGGTGGTTTTGTAGGTGGATGCGAGGCTTTCTTTGCTTTAATCATCAATAGCACCAACCTTCTCCTAATAATTTTACAATACTTATACCTTATATAATATATTATTGAAATATTACATCAGAGACACAGGAATTTTAATTCTTATCATATTTACAAATATGCATATGCGAGTGAGGGGTCGTAAGATTAAGGCGATTCGTACGAGTATATGAGAGTACAATATATATTCTTAACTCAATATATACTTGAATGAGAACATATATAAAGAGGGATCTGACATCTCTTAATATATTATATTAGTATTACAATATTTCTCTACTTTTTAATTCAACAAGTATGCAATCGTGCCAACTTTTTCTAAAAATTGTACTATTTTCTAAATATTCATGACTTATGACAGGTAGGCTTCATGCACGATGATCTTTACTTTTAAACTTCTTGCAGCTGATTTGAAATTACCAGCCGCATTGCCAGAATTTGCTCTTTTCACCAATAACCTTTTTTTTACTATTCAGGCATTTGGCAGAATTGAGCGGATTTTTCCAGTAGAAAAGAAAATCATTCAGTTTTGCCTAAGGGGCTCTATCATACACACTTAAGTGTTCTGCATAATTTTAAAATTCCGAGGCCTTTGTATTTAATTAGAACGTTGCGTGCATTTTCCGTGACACGAAGCGCCATTGATAAGGCCACGAAGGTCATGTGTGAATATAGAAAAGCGTGCTGCTGTTTTTGAACTTCGTTCGTACAAGTAGACAGTACTACGTCGTGCTTTAATTCAATTAAGAGATGGCGCAATTCATATCAGAGATTCATTCGGGACAACGTTTATTATCCATATGGAAACTTTTTTTAGAGCCTTTAATTCCTTGTTACCGAACAGAGCTAGTAACCTGCATTATGAACTTCGCATGCTTTGAAATGTTTACTGCGTTACGAGAACAAGGAAAGATACAACTTCCGTTACGCAGATGACATGCATACGATCCCCTCGATGGAGCCATGCGTCATCCGTTTTCGCCTTGAGCACCTCACGTTCTGCAAGCTCACTCAGTTCACGTTCTTCCCCGAGCGTCAAACGAACACCACCAAATA